TGCTTTGAGTTTCGATTGTGGGGAAGACTAACTAGGAGTACTAGCACTTCATGCAGTCTGTCATTAGCGTTGGACAGGGCTTGGAATACTGGTCCCAGGACAGCCACAGTAACCTTCTTCCTACACCCTACTTGTCCCATCTAATAGTGTCAGAACACGGCTTCTAGAACAGGCTTCATGGGGACAGAACAGATTCACAGGGTTATTTCAGTGTCATCATCGAATAGTTCAAATGTACCTTTAAAATACAGTGTACCAGTACACTTTGATTACTGAGAGGATAGACAGATTTTCTTGCCTACAAATTAACTGAAACTGCATTTCACAGAAATTAAATTTTCATAACACCCCATGCTTCCTTGTCGTTATACCCCTTTTGCATCCTCTGAAAACAGCTGCATAGCTCCATGCCTTTTCTCCACTTTTCAGGCAATCTCCTCCAGCCCTGGGACCAAAGTTTGCTCCCCATCTCCAGAACTGTGCCAGTATCACTGAAGTTTCACGGTGTTAGCTGGGGAAGAGCCACTGTGCATAACCCCTTAGCACAAGTTTATTCAGAATCACAGTTTTGCAGCTTTTCCACAGTACTTTAAATGCAAGACCAAAAAAACCTAAGTCATTCACTGACTCTAAATCCATTAATTTAAACTCAACCCTGGGACACATTTTTGTCTCAGCCTCAGCAGATTGAGGACATGTGTGCAAATAAAGAGTATATAGCCTATCCTAATTTTGGGTACCACTCCCAGCCCTACAACAGTTGATCTCCGTGAGCAAATGCTGCCTATTTCCAAGAGCAGAGGATCACTCACCTCTCCGTCTGTACTCCTCAGGCTCCATACTGCTTCCTCCTAAAAGCACCTCTTCAAACCTGGACCACGACCTTTCAGGAGCAGCTTGGTCTGGTGCCCTGCTAGCTACTTCACCTTTTATAGCTCCCTTTATCTCTCAGACTCACGCATGCTGGAAAGGTTGAACGTAGGCAGGTTATTCGTGAGTGTTTATCTAACTCCTCCCAACTGAGGGCTTTTACAGTCTCTCGTATGTTCTCATCTGTGCTCTTTTGATGTGTAAGATAGTATATCTCTAAAAGGAGCTGCCTCTGCACTAACCCTTTCCCATTTTCAAACAATCTTTCAGAAGTCTCGCAGTAATCCCTGTCATGCATGTAAGACACATTAACATCAGACTTGTGGGAGAGAAAAAGCTCAAGACCTTCTGAAACCAAATAAAAGCAGCCATGTTACTCTAGCACACTGAACTGTTACCAGTACATAACAAATTTGACACTGCAGACGGGGACTTTTTTTTTTTCCCCCTTTCCTTTTTGTTTTTTAAAGAATTGTAGGACTGAGTTTTCCCAAGAAAAGAGTATACCTTCATCCCCACAAGTCTTCAGTCCCTATGCTGTCAGTCCCTTGCTGCTAGAAGGAAAGGCATTACAATTATTGCCAGTTCCAGAACTGCAATACAAAGCAGCAGTGATCCTCTTTCTGATTTCCTGCCCTTCCAGATCAGACCAGGTTACACTGCAGGGTGATGTTCCTCCACTGATATCACCCTAGATTGCTGAGCTAGGAAAACACATTTTTTTCCCCCCACTGTGCTTGCTTTTCTCACATATGATGCGCATAAGCACTGGGCTTTGGCCTTGTATCTCCAGAATTCCTCCAAGTCCTCCACCTGGGTTGCTCTCAGTTTGGAAGAACAGCCATGTAGATTCCCCCTTGTTCCAGTTTCAGGACCTGAAAACACATCCTGACCTGTCTTTGGCAGCACGACCCTGGACACTGTACTCAAGGTTGAGCGCTTACCATCTTCACCAGAAGAACTCGCTTGCTCTACACTGATACCAGGCAGCCCTGGGAAAAGAGAGAGGTAGGACTTACGGACTCAGCACGGACTAAGCACCGGAAAGAGAAATTGTTACATCGTACAATGTATGCTTACCCTATTTCTGCTATACTCTAGGCTCCTGCTTAGGGTTGGCCCTGTTGGAGACAGGGTACCAGGCTAGGCAGACCCTTCGTCTGATACATGACAGCAGTTTCTCTCATCATACAGAAGAGAACTGGCTGTCAGAGCAGCTTTGACTTTCTGCCTCATGTACTATAATGCAGCCTAAACGCTTTCATTATTCTAGAAAGTCGTTACGTCTTTCTCCACAGCGTACTTTCTACAGAACAGTGTGAAAACCTTTCGTAGTTTCTGCTGCGATTAGATATTTGAGAAAGAACTGTTTCATAGATATGAAAAAGATGCTCCGATACATGCACATCAGATTAATATAATGAAATAAAAAACAATGATAAAAAAAGGCATTGAAAGAACAAGTGCAAGAAGTGCCGAAAAAAACATACTATATGCATATTCATCTGCTTTATCTCACATTTCTCTGGAAACATTAGAAAAAAAAAAAAAAACAAGCTGCCCACACAATTAATACCAATTTATGAACCTCTCTTGGCTTTACTGTAAATGCTACCATAAAGGGGAACAAAGAAAGTGAGAAGGGACTGGCAGCAAGCACAGGACCAACTCAAAAAGAGCTCAGAGTTCTCAAAAACTGTGATTCTAGCTCATTACAAGCAACTAATACATTACTTTAACATACGGACATCAGTTCAAAGAAAGCTGGTAGCTAATTACATTTATGATTTCAATTTGGACCAGCAAATAAGGAACAATACTTTTAACAATGTTGTCAGAGCTAAACTACACAATACATATTCCATGTGACATATACCCTACACCTTTGCTCAAAGGTGATAGTTTCATCAGGTTGGTTTCTCGTTCTGTGCAGAAGAGAACAAACAGCAGGAACTGTTCAGAACTAGAATAAAATAGGTGATAATGAATTGCAGGTAGGGTAAATATTGCTGGTGATAAATAAATTTTTGTTATAGCTACCCTGCACTTGGAAGGATTTTGTCACAGACAATGAGGAATAGAGTATTTGCTCACAGGAAGCAGAATTAATAGAAAAGGTTCTTTTCATTGTTTGCTACAAAGGTCTGTGCCGTCAAAAGCGTGGGAAAATCTCCATTTGGACGTGAACATTACCACTATCACTACTCCAACTAACGCTGAAATTCTTATCGTTATTAAGAGTTCACAGAGATTAAACTGTAGTTAAGTTTGTGGGATGTGAGGACACAAACATTATTTTGATCACAGAATAATTCAATGGGAGCAACGCCTAACCAGCACATTTAACTTGACTAACCGGTTCCTGCATTCGCTAGTGACATAATGGATAGTTTCTGGAAAAAAAACTAAAATATAGCAATTTCCAGTTAGTCACTGCACAAGGCTTGCTTCAAGTCCTAGTACCAGCTGACCATGATTATATCCTTGAAAATAATTCTTCTTAAAACAACCACCACAGGTTTTCCACTTTTTATTATCTTTTGATTATTTTGGGGTCAAATTTGCTAATCGGGATCAAATTTGCCAAATTTATACCAATACTAGGATATTTAGAATTTTTTCCTAACTCACAATTCTATAAACTCAAGTCAAAGTTTGAAGAAGGAAGATTTTACTTTGTATTGTGTAATGCAATTCTCTCCCCACTCCTCCCTCCTACCTTTGAAGGCTATTCTAAACCTAAAACTGGTTTTTCGTATTTTTCTGAATGCCTAACACAGCACAGCTTTGACCTTCAAATGCACATACAAAACAATTGAAATGGAATGGATTCTACACTATATATGTGGAAAAGATATTTAATTGTAAAATAGAAAAAGTAGGCCAGAGTACAGTTTTAAGGGTAATTCTTCTGTGTACAGTATAGGTAAACTAGACTTTTTGCTTAAGTTTATATAAACAATTCCATAAAAGCAGTGAAACATGGAACAACAAAGCAAAGCACAGAGTTTTATCTTACAAAAAAGGAATCTGCACAGTAGTTCAAAATTTAATGTAACACAGCACTGAACAATCTTAAGGCAGCTCAGTCTAAGCACAGGACTAGAAGCCAGGAACTCCTGAGATCTATTCCCAGGTCTACCACAGATTCCCGTGGTCTTGGGCCAGTCATTTAACAGTCCCTGTGTTGCACTTTACCAGTTATAAAATTGAGACAGTAACACTCACTTACCTGCCTCAGGCAGTACAGTAAGGGTTCTTTAAAGATTTTACAATGCTCTGAAGATGTAACGTGCTATATAAATCCTAAGCATAATAGATCACTGCACAGACACACACAAACACAGTATCACAGTGAAGAACAATGATGCTAGGTAAGAAGAGCATCACTATGACATAAAAAAATTACTTGTCCATTTGCATAATTAAAATGCAAAAGTCCGTTTAGAAAAAGTGTATCGCTGAAACAATTTCAAGGCTATTGGGGAAAAGAGATCAATAGGAATATTCTAGAAGAACTACTATTTGTGTTCCAGTGGAGACATTCTTTTCTATTCATTACTGAACTTTAAAATGCTTGTACAGGAAAATTGTAAGACACACAAAGTGAAGTTTCAATGCCTCCACTACCAAATTTTAAATTGCCTCTAATATGTAAATTAAGATTTTTTTTGTTCTTTTTAATTACAAATTACATTCTTCCAAGAAATATACCATCCACAATAAAACTGGCTGCTAGCTTACTTCAAATGACCTATAGGCTAAACATTTTTCTCATAATTTTTCTCATCTTTGCTGAAAAATACCTATGCAAGATGTATGTGTAGAAATTATAAAAACATGCAGCATATGTACAAACTGAAAAGTTTAAAAAATATTAGCTTCATATACATGTAAATCTACTTGGATATATCTGAAATTAAATATAAAAATTTCACCACCTAAAATTAAAAAACAAAAAAACCCAAAAAGAAACCCAAAAATGGTTTTCAGAGAATCTGAGACAACTACTTAAAGCTGTACAAAGATTTCCACCTGGAAATTACTTATTCGGAGAAGTTTAAGTTGTTACCATGTAGAAATAACTGTTAATTCATTTTGTCACATAATTCATTTTCAAGTTGTCAGCTTAAATCAACAACATCACCCTTAAAACTGTTCTGTTTTTCAGAAGTTAGATTCATACTAAAATCAAAAATTTCACAAAAACATTGGCTTCTCGTGTTTCTGGATCCCTTCAAAAAGATTTATCAACTCATTTTGAAACTGTAAAAAAAACAACTATTTACAGTATTTAATTTTAAATACTTTTCACAATTTCTAAATTCAGAGTTTTTATGTTACAAGAAATTCAGAGCTCACGGCGTAAGTCCAGTTATCAACTTGTAGCATCTTCTCTATCATGTAATCCTGTGTCTGTACCTATATAGCGTACAGTTCAAGATTGTACTGCAGGTTTTTGAAAGTAACAGGCTTTGCAGTATGTTCATTTTTTATTAAACAGCTTCTTTATTAGTCTGGAGGCGGTTCATTGCCTCTAACTTCTGCCGATAGGCCTCTGCTTCTTGTTCTTTCTTTAGAAGCTGCTGACGATATTTTTGTGCTTCTCTGTTTGCCTCATCCAGCTGTTTCTGAAGAGTTTCTCTCTCCTATTAGAAACAGAACCAGCGATATTTTGTCAAATATGTATCAAATACAAGTTAAAATGGCAAATACTTTTCCTTTACATGCAGCTCAAGTGTTAGGGTATCGTGTAGAAACTGTTCAGTTCTTAATTGGGCAAACCTGTATGAATGCTGCTGTGTAAATTAGACATGAACTATCACACCAGACAACTCCCCACAATAAGGCTTGAAGTGCAAGTACAGTAAACCCAAGTTTCGTTAGCTGCAAAGATACCAAGCAAGTCTTCATGGAAAAAGAGTGAAATAAAAAAGTGGAAGCATGGTGATCAAATATTAACATCATATATTAACATTTCTTAAATTATTCAATTCCCTTTGTTACGTTTTTAAATTGGAATCCAATCTAACAGGATCATCCCTTTCTGTTGTATCTCTAAATCAGACAGTATAATGAAAAACTGTTACCTAACAACAGTTGGTGCTGGAAAGTGACAGCTGTCCCCTAACCGAAATATACACAGAACTGGTTTCTAACTGAGGTGATCTGAAGTGATTGGTACTATGCAATCCAGAGGTATAATTACATCCCCAAGGACACCACATTTTTATGAATTAATAGGCATTTAGCTAGATAAGGTTTTCCAAGCAAAGTAATACAAGAAATGCCACTTCCTATGAAGCTGCCTTAGGAACTAAGGAGAATGTATTTCTATCTCCAGTGACGTAGGCGCTGTCATTTTGTTTGATGCTGCACTGAGCCCAATAGAAAAAGCAATTTGCTTAGAAAAGAGTTTTGTTTTGATCTTCAACCAAATACCATTTCATTAAAGTGCATCATACTTTTATGAGTAAGGTAGTATTTGATTTCAAGTAATTCTTTCCACTGTAGTTGTTAAGTAGCCACAGGAGGGAGGTTGTCAGAGAAGCGAGCTATCTCCCAGAAAAACAAAACTCCTATCAAAAACTGAGGCCCGGTGAAAATCCTTTTTCACCTTATTTTTCACCTTATTTTTCAGCCTTTTCACCTTATTTCCATCCCAGCAGTTCAGTATCACATTCCCATTTAATACCTCAAACAGTTGTTAGAAGTTTCTCCCCCTGCACACCCATAACAGCATCCCTATTCTTCACCTCTTTCACGCACTCACATATTTTCACGGTCAGAGCCTGAAAATACAAAATACTCTGCCTGCCTTCTACTTGCTACTGTTCTCGGTACTTGTCACAGTCACATTGAGCAGTCACATGCTGTGCTGAATGTGCTGGAACATAATGACATAGGTGATCAGATCATTGCTAACAGCAGCATCTGTATAGCAAAAACAACAGGTGAAGGAGAGATGTTATTAACAGGTTATAAAGACTAGCTAGAACAGAACAAACTCCACTAAGTGCAACCTGATTTTACATACAGCTTGAAGAGCTGAAGGAAGCTAGCTAGGGTTTGCTTCATTTGGAGCATATGCTGATAAAATGAGAGCTCATCTGATCGTGCTTACTTATATGAAAAGGAAGTTCAGCTTCCACGTCTGAAAATTTGAATTCTGCTTAAAGCTACTTTATGAATGGCCAACCCATGTAGCAGCTAGACTGACGAATGCCAAATGAATGGTAGAGCCTACATCTCAAAGGATCTGAAATACGCCAATGATGTTCCAGCACCAGTCCAACCAAAACATACTGCTATTTCTGTAAGTTATCTATGTAGTTTAAGGGGAGCCAACAGCTTAAGTAAAACAGCCTTGTGGAGTGGAAAGTTGGCGAAAAGAGCTACAAGACGATTCTCAGAGAAGCAGTAAAAACAGTTGATCCGTCTACACATGGAAAGCAACCGTTCCCTCTTGAGGGCACTCAGCTCTGGGATATACTGAGCTGGGCATTATCTATGTCATTAATCTGTCACAAAAACCATCACAAATCTACTACTGGCAAGAAGCAAAGCTGCTCTATCTACTGGGCTGCAGAAGAATAAGAACCAGCAGTAGCTCACTGGCCAGCGGTTCTGCGATGCATTACAAAAAGCAAGGCACTATCACTACTATGGGGTGCGTGCAGACTGCAAACACTTTGGGGTGGAGAGGTTCTCAGACCACATCTTATGAGTATTTCCCACAGAAGAGAGAAATAGAGCCATGTACCCATAAGAAGTATAGCACATTAAGGAAGGGATAGAAAAAAGGAAAAAAAGTAAGTCTCAGTGGCAGAGACAAGAGCATAAAACCAGTATCTACCAGACAGACTAGTAATTCAAAGCACGTAGATCAGTCCAGCAACTAATATAGTCCAGCAACTAATAGGTGTAGTTTTTAGACAGCCATAGTCCTAACATAAACAGAATGAGTTAAGGAATAAAGGCCAAGTATACCGTCTAACTAGGCAGTGCAAAGAAACCAATGCTTCTGGAGAAGCAATGCAGATCTACAGTGGACTGAACAGTGAAAACTGATTCCTTAACTTTGACATCTAGAATAGGAAGGCCTACATCTGGTCTATTAATTTCATCGAATCCAGAAAGTGTTCTTAGGGCATTCTTTAGAACACAACTGGAAGTGTTCTAATTATCTGAAGTCCTTTTGTATCAGTATAAAAACCTACCCAGGTAAAAATCAAATTAGGGGATCCTGAGTGCTCTTAAGAAATCTTCTATTTTATCAGGGAATTTTCCTCATTACATGTAACTTTTCTTAACAGTCTATATATTGACAATAGGGACACCCATAACTAAAATAACCAAACCAACCATTCCTTCCAACAACAGAAAGAGCAGGGATAAGAGTTCACTAATGTAATTCATTTACAATTTTTTTTTAGTCTAATGAAATGATTGCCCTGGTTCTACTGCGTGTCACCTTTCAAACATGCAACATGGGAAACACAGTAAAATTAAAGAATGAAAATAAAAATCATTGTATGTTAATGAAATATGCATGAAAATGAAAAACAGAGTATCTGTGTGACAGGGGTTTTTTTGCTGCCATCCTACATTTAAAACACCAAACTGTTTAAGAAAACTGCTATCACTCTTCAAAACAAGCCGAAATGTTTGAACTTAACAGACCTAAAAGAGAGAAATCAAAAAACACCACTACAGCTTTAGTTGTTCACAATACTTTCACAGGAAAGTTTGTCACCTCACATGAATGGCAGGATGTTCAACTTCGAGACTTTCAAACTACATTTAACTGTTCATACACGATGAATTTAAAACAGCTGAAGAAAGCACTCTTAGCCTTGAATCGACTCTTTATAATGAAATAGAGGAATGAATCACCAGTGAGGCAAAGAAACCAAACAATAAAGATTTTCTACATTAAAAAAACATTTTAATGAGGGGAGGGGTCCCACTCCCTCCAAATTCAAGTATCTACCACCTTCTATAATGATGAAGTTTAAAGTGAACCAACTTTATGTGCACTTCTTTAATGTCCCAGTTACCAAAGTGAGGTAGCACCACACCCCTGTGAACCACAATAAGGCTCCTGAAGTCAACTGGCCTCCACACAGAGGCAGAGGTCTGCATGTGCATTTCCAGTTGTACAGGCAGGGACAAAGTCAGTCATCAAACTGGCACTTAAAAGTAACAGATAAAGTAACTCATTTAAACCAACTTTCTTCAACATTTGAGAAATGTGCTTAAAAAATGTAATTGAAACTGGTAATGCTCTTAGAAGAATTATTTGTACTGTTATACCAACTATCTGTAATTAGGAACAGGTCTACTCATTCCTTAACCAACCTAGGTTTTTCTTCTTTCACCTAACAGAATTATTAAAATACTTAAGGAAATGTAATTTCCTTTAGGAATAATTCAGGCAGATGTTTAAAAGTGTGAACAAAAGAAATGCTTTTATTGTAACAGTCATACATTTAAAAAAAAATGCAGCAAGAAAATTTCAACTGTCATGATAATCTGTAATGACCACAAAGCTGCAAAGGCCAAAAGTATTTGATGTGACAACTTAGGGACAGGGAAAGCAAGCGATGAAAGGTGGTAATTATTGTTGTTAAACATGGATAACACATAGCACATACTGTACAATAAAAAGTATTCAATTAGGCACAATTCGATAATATGAACAGAAGTTGGGGAATACAACCTTTGATAAATGAAATATCATGGAGTTGACAAAATGAGAACTTACAGCCTAGTCAAGGCAGACAGCAATTTTCATAAACTTTTGACCAGAACTGGTCAGCACAGTTAGAAGTAACAGAAGAATAAATGAGACAGTTGACCTATCGTGGTTAATATAAAAAAGCTATAATTTTAAATTGAACAGCTACATCTATTTGTCATATATAAAAAGAAAAACTCTATCAATGCTGTTAGGTCTTCTGCACTATAATTTTTAAAAAAAAAGGATGGAGCAAAGATGTGTAATAGTAAACTGCTCCAGAATTTAAAAAAAAAAAAAAAAAAAAAGAGAGACAGATAAAAATTGACAAACACAGAATCTTAACGTTTCACATTTCCATTAACGGTTATCTAGTTATCATGAATGGAAAGGAAACATTGCTGAAAATATGATCTCACAATCAGGACAAGCATGTGGTCATAACAGAAAGATGAGGGTACAGTACTCTCATTCCCTGCTAGCAGAAAGAGTCAAGTTACTCGATAATATATTGGTACCTAGTTTTAAAAACTAGCTAGTGATCTTAAAGGAAAAACAAAAAAAAAATTAAGTTATCAAATACTTAAACAAGTGTCACTTTTATGTGCATGACCAGAGAATGAAGCAAACAGCCCTCCTATATTGTTTTTACAACTTTGTAAAAGATGAATTCCAGTAACAGGGGAGACTGAACAAGTTATTGTTTCACACACTTCGTTCTGTGGTAACACAGAAATTAAACTCTAGAACAACACAAAAACCACAACCAGATACTCAGTGCTGAACACCCTGGTTAACACATATCACGTAATATACTCCTTACTTCTATTTCTGCAGACTCCACACGATTTTCAACAATCTCAATGCACTGTCTCTTCACTGGCGGCTCTTCGCTTATCACAGTTTCTTCAGCAATGTCTGTTGCTGGAACTGTTAATACTGAAAACATATTTGTACTTATAAATACTTTTACTTCAAACAATATTTGCACTATATAAAATTCTTATAGTGAAGTAATTGTATTAACAGCAATAAAATGCAAAGACCTTCCCTTCTGAAAACATGACTATATAATAAAGTGCATTATAAAGGCAGTACAGGGAAAATTCACTAAAAGCTTTAGCTGCTTGTATGCTACTGAAGAATTTTAAAGTTGTTTGTTGCTGAGGTCTACAATAGTTAGCTGTCACTCTGGAATATCACTGCCATTTTTCACAGAGTAAACTGACATGGAAGTGAATTGCAGCAGAGTTACCAGTCTGTCAGTTCTGTAACTTATATAGCAGACCATCTCCTTTATAATGTTTCTTAAGCAAATACTACGTACAAAAGTGGCTTTTGATTTTGATTAATTAGAACACCTTAGGTAATCTGAAAATCCAGTAGTTATTAACCTTCGAGGAGAAAAATTAGGGGTCTAAAGAAATTCATACTCTAATTTACTCATGCAACCATCTGGCAAATAAGCATAGTGACTGTCATTTCAATTACTATCTATGCACATTCATGCTTTCTGATAACTAGCTGTGCTTGTTCAGACAGACTGTGAACCAAATCATTTGTCTCCGGTGTACAACTCTTCAAGCTCCACACTGGGAATCCTCATGAAGAAACAAGAGAAGGAATAATTTTTGTCTAAATAGTAGTGGCAAAGCATTTTTAAAAGGAATCACCCAAAAACACACACGTCACAAAATAGCACTTACTGCACTAGCAGCTTCCACAAAGTACATATAGCCCAGGACAATTTGTGTCACCCTGGCTTCACTGGTTCTGCCACGGCTCCTCTAAAACCTCAAGCATGTAAGACTTGGCTTTTGTTTTGTTAAGAACACACTCCACGGGACTTGAGCAGCTTGACTCATGCACCAGATTTCTAAATCCAAGCCTCACCTCCCTGTAATTTTTCCAGCAAGGCAACAGTGGAAGTATTGGAAGAAGGCTTTTGTTCTACTCCATCTTCTTAGTTTTCATAACAAGTTTGCAAGAATCAAGCTTATTGAAGGCAAAGCAAGCAGTTATCACTTTTCCCTTAAATGTCCCATTTCTCTTCCATACAGTTTAGGAATTCTTCCATTCTTTTTCCTCATGCAAAGACTCAGCTGACGTGGTAACTCAGTGAACTGCAGTGGCTCATGTGTCTAAGCCTTTCGCAGTATAAGCATTCAAAGATGTATTTAAATTCAGAATTACACAAAATTGTCCAAGCTATTTGCACCTAACAGCTTATTATTATTACTATAACTAAAATAGTTCCTCAAGCTCAAACCATACAAGTTTCCACTCACCTTGCTGTCCATCTGGCATGGTCACAATGATTGGTTGTCCTATTCCACTGGTTGGAATTGAATGGAGATTACCAAGCTGAATGCCATCTGTAACTATAGTAATAACTTGCTGACCGCCAGAACTGACAACTTGCTGAATAGCACCATCCACAGATTCTGCAGTCACAACCTCTTCTGTGGCCACAACTATCAACAGATTAGTAAAGGAATTAAGTCAATTTATAAATTAAGATTTATGTTTTCAAATGCATTTTTGTACAGCTGAGAAAAACTTTCTTCCATGTCTTTTAAAATTTGATATATTCCCCCCCGCAATTAATACATTACTACATACTACATTGTTAATAGAAGTCTTTCACCATGCCAACATAAAGCACCAACAATGTGAAATACACATGCAATTCTGTCCTGGTTTACCTTGCTCAATATAATATTTTTTTTTATTTATTTAGCATGTTTCCTAATAGATACACCCCACGCAAAACCGATGCTTTGGGTTCAGTGTTAACATGGCAGCAAGAACAAGAGTTGTTTTTAAGAACACAAGTAACTCTTCCATTGTATGCAAGCTGGACTAAGTTACACTAACTGCAGAATAATAATAAAAAAAACCCCTGAACTTGAAATACGAGCTTGAAACTACTCCTCAACCAGTGCCTTGCCAGGTGTACCTCAGGACCCAGCCCTGATCTGCTTACCGCAATGGTCTTCAAGACAGCAACAGACTGAAGGACCTCTAGAGAAGCTTAAAGTTTTGTCTGTACTACATCGGTATTTCACAAACCACAGCTTTATTTATTATACAAAGTATGAAACAGGACTAAAGGAAAAGTTCTGCAGAGTTGACATTTTTACGCCTTTGAAGGAGAAAGATAAAGCTAAAAAAACTTAAAAAAATTGTATATATAATTTTATAGGTAAAAGTAAAAATAAAAAAATCTCAGCTCAACTAAATATTTCCAATTCATGATTCGATAATGACTACACAGCAGTCAACTCTCACAGTTCTATGTTACATCCATAAGTCAAGGTAAGATAAGGGAAAGACTGCACTCAGAACTACAACACATACCACGGCTTGCACTATGCACTGTAACTGGGGTCTTGCACTACCACCCTTTTTTTAAAAAAAAAAAAAACAAAAACCCAAGATCCTGAGACAAAGAGCAAGATCACTGGTAGCATAATCAAAGAATTTCAAGCACACTAACTCTGTATTTTATTTTCAATTTGTCAGGGTAAAAGCAAAGCCTTTGATTTAAATAACAGACACTAGAGTGCTTTCTATCTACAGAGATGAAATTAAAACCCTATAGACTGTGTTGTGATGCTCAAGATGAGAGAAGGTAGATAAAACCCTGAAGCTTTCATCTTTTAAGTTAATTACAATATAACACACACACACAAATCACTCTGTAGTTCAAATAATGACTGCAGTCATTGCCTTCTGAAGATCTTTATGTTCAGAGATTACTGTCCTACAGCACTGCTTAAATATTCATAGCGTGTTTATTCAGTAAACCAAAACAGTAAGTCCTACATGAATAAGTGGTGTTGTTTTGAACTTGATTTGGCTTCCAAGTACAGGCCAGCAGTAAGAAAGACCACTGTCACCAAAAATTCCAAGTTGCAAATGCCAGTGCTAGCTGCTGTGGCAAACAGCTCTGATCTTTCAGTTTCAAACTCAGCATTGGGCTTTTAGTTCTGGAAGGAAACATTAGGGCTTCTTCAGATTGTGAAAGAAACAAATGGAGATTTTGTCTAAAAAGTTACTACATACAAAATTAAAATACCCCCCATACAAGTCCTTATTTCTCCCTTGCTCTCCTTCCATATCTATATGCATATAATCACTAGTTACCACATTACTTCATATGCTGAAGGAAAGCTGAAGTAATTTAAAACAGCAGCACTATTATTTTAAAGAATCTCTGTATTAATGCGCGTTATTTTCCTCTGCAGTCTGTGCAGGGGGAGAACACCTGCATATTGTAACAGTCATACATTTAAAAAAAAATGCAGCAAGAAAATTTCAACTGTCATGATGAATGCACTAAGACACATGCCTAATTCCAACATAAGCACATCAAATACTGCATTCCAGATACACTTCTTAAACCAGATTTTTCTCTAATCCAACTCTGAGTCCATACATACATTATGCACCACATCTGTACATAATGTCCACGTCCTCATATACACTTAATTTGAGTAACAATTAAAAATACATGATTCTATTCAGCTTCAGCAAGAAGCACCTTTCTTTCTTTGGTTTTACAAAATTGATGTGTTTTTAACTGTAAGACATGAGGAACTAGGGGGAAGAGATCAGGGTAAAGTTAACTTGGAAAGAGGAAAAAAATCTTAGAAACCACACAGAAGGCAGAACCTAAGTGCTTTGTCCAAGTTTATAGAGTCTTAAATACAGGAGGCTAAATACAAGGTAAGAGCCAAAACCAGAATTCTCAATCCTACAATTTCTCAGAGTATTTATAAATGGAACTTTTAAACAATGAGCAAAAAGAGAAGGTTTCTTTTTTTTGTTGCTGGTTGGGTTTTTTTTTTTTTTCTCCCCTTGAACACATGTACTACTGATGCGCAGGTGACAAAAAGCTGCTTTTCTTTACACTTTATAAATTATTAAAGGAGTAAGAACCCAGGAAATAATTTGCAGACAGTAAGATTCTGCAAGATTGCCCACGCATCTGCACAAAAATCAAAGCAGAAGAACTGAAATAAACAGAAGGGTTAGATATAATGTACATTGCATTACTGAAGGTGGGAACCTACTGCATCAAGTCTTCAAGCTTATTCCTTCTGGCCTGTCATCTCCTGCCTCCTCTCTAATAATTTTTATCTTCAGTGGTTTACTGACATGTAATGTAGCTTATGCCACACCACTGCAAGGGTAGGGCCATGAAGCATGAGAACACTCTATTAGCTACCGAAGTCTATCTACTACCAAGTCCTGGATACACATTTAATGCTCTGTAATCCCATGCAATCCCTTCTTGAGTTTCTCCCTCCTACAATTAGATCCAAGTTTCACTGAAAGATATTAATTGATTGAAAACATCAGCAGCTTCTTCTGTAATGAAAGGCACTGCATTCTGGTTTTGAATCATCCACTTCAAGTGCAATATTTAAATGTCATAAAATAGTATAGCTGGACTTAGGTACTACTTTGAGAAGTAGTAGAAAAAAAGAGCTGTATTAAGAAGAAATCCTGCAAGACTTCAAAATACTTAGAGATGAAAACTCGGGTATATGTTGGGATGAAGCTGTCATGCCAGCAAGTCTGCGAGTACAGATCTCTTCCACGTTTTCAGTGAAAACTGTGTCCTTAAGAATGATGTCATCTGCAGAGCTGAATTCTGTGAGAATTTTTAAGTACCAAAGACTTGGGTCACGCGAAGTACCTCAGTTCTGTAAAATTTATCATACTGACCATCACCGACAAAAAAGCAAAATAAATGCATCTCTTTAGAAATGTGTTCAGAAAAATTCAGGTTACCATAAGCATCATAAATCTTTGATCGACAGAGGGTTGTTGCTCTCCATAGTGATCTCCAGTCACTGGCTTTGAAGTTAGGCTCATCTTGCTACATATCATATCACTAATCAGTGCTCAAAATGCCAAGCTAACTCAGAAATAAGGCTATAGTGCTATATGTCAGTATAACAAATAGTATAAATACTAAATCAACAAAAAACCCAATCTGGCCTACCATAAAACTCCAGTAGCTACCAACATGGCTGCTACTGCCTGAGAAAACTGGGGAGCAACATATGCAAAACAGCATTGGGCAAGTAAAGTATGCATAAAATACTTCACAGCTTTCTTTAAAGAGCCAGGTCTCCACCAAAACCCCTTTTGGGACTCTCAGAATAACAGAGGTTTTTATTCAAGTACACCATATAGCCTACTTCAGAGAAAAAAACTAGGGATTTCTGTGTCCCAAGGCTAGCTAACAAAGAATTAACATAGCACTTGACCTCCTAAGTGATAGTTTTACCTGATTTTCTATGCAATGGCAAGATATTAACATAAACCATAATTAGAAAATATGGTCTGGAACAGAATTTTAGTGGCACTCTCTTAGAAAGTAACTTTCAATAATTTGGAAGCTTTTGATCACATTTTAACTTTATTGTAGATAGTATCGCAACTTGCTTGAATTATAAAAGGAGGTCTTTTTCTTGCTTATATCTCTCTCTCAAACCTGTTAGTGGTAATGACTAGTCTTTATAATCCACTTCGACTATAAGACTCCTGTCGCCATTTCTTTCTTCACTTTGCGTGTTGTAATGAACAAAAGTGAGAAAGTACACAAAACAAGCACATTATTCAGAAAGAACAGAGAAAGATATCCAGGGCAACTCACAGAGTACAGAACCTTGACCAAAGTTTTTTTTCAGACAAAGCAGTAACTGGCAGGGGCATGGGGTGAAGGGGATTTGTGTTAAGAAAGAGGAATGCAAAACTCGGGAACTAGGGGCAATGGAATTCCTTGTGCCTTTCTGGCTTCTTGTCATGGCCTTATGTAATAAGGGAGCACGTATACAGCTGCAGTGAGGGACGCAGGCTGCTTCTTCCTAGGAGAACAATAACGTATTGCTAGGCTTACATTTACCTGAAATGCCATGACAGCATACCAGCCTGAAGTGGGACATACTAATCACTACATATTGTTACAAATGCAAGTAGAAAGCCTCAATGTTGAAAAGAAGACCTATAGACATTCTAATGGGCAAACTGCACATTAAGATTACCAAATATTCTTGTGCCTTTTGGGTGAAAGATTAAGAAAACTGCTGCCAAAGTATACGCAAACAACATTGGGGGCCATTTCCCAATATTTAACAGAAGGAGGCATTCAAAGAAAACATTCTCCCACCAAATGCAACTAGACTGTATGTAGACAAAGATGTGAATTCAATCTCCTGAATTATGTCTGCTTTCAGCAAGAGAATGCTACTCACATTAGGCACAGAAATACCCGTTGTGGTCAGAAATCTTATTAAGAAATAATTGTACATGTGAATCTGGCAACCTTCCAGGTGAAAGTAAAGGAAAAATTTTGTTCACTCTGAAAGAAGGAAGGAAGATTGTAATCTCATTTCTGTATGAACTGTAACTCCAAAAGCGCCCATTACGTACTTTTAGTTTATTAAATGAGGTTAAATAACTTCGCTTTCTAACCTGGTGTTTCTGAAGAATTAGACAGTGGAGCTGATGCTTCTGCTAAAGCTGCCAACGTGGCTAATACTGACGTCGATGAATTTCCAAACTGTACAGCTGACACTCCTGTTTCATCTAGTAGGATGAAAAAAAAGTTAGCTGATAAATTTAAAACCAGTGAAGTCCCTTTTTTATTGTTATTGCACTGAAACTTCTAACACACACTCTGTTCTCAGCACCATTCTGCTAAACCAAAGTGCTACTCTGAAGGCAAGTTTGTTAAGCAAATACAACTTCTGATAATTTATCTCTGTGAAGACTGTTGTTTTAAGTACCTAGATATTTACAACACATAAAAAACACTGAAGAGAAACATGGGTAGCTACTCTATTCTTACCACTGTTTTTCCTCAAGCCTTTTCACTAAATGGTGACAAATCAAAGTATAAAATCCCAGTAGCTATGCTATAGGCATCTAAATACCTGTTCCATTTGATGTATTTGCAGAAGATACCAGACCTGTTAGGTTCACCACCCCTCCAGGTCCAATGATGAACTGCGGTGTTGCTGCATGTATCGTCACAGTGTCTGGACTCTCTGGATTCGTATTGATTTGGTTCTGCATTGCAATCTAGGAAAAAAAGGTAGTAATACCACCCCAATTGTAGGTATAAAGAAGTTATTTACCTTGTAAGAACTAGAATTATTGCACATTCCACTCAAACAGGGAACATCTCCCTTGTTATGCAATATACACACATTGTGTCACATCTCGTGCTCTGTGTAAGTACACGAGAAACACTTTTTTTGGCCAAAATCTAAAGACAAAAAGTCTACTGAAGTGAAGGAGAATAATGACACACTGCTACTTCTCCTTACCATTTATTGTAAACAAAGAGGACCATATAAAGACAAGGCCCTTCTGTAGATGTGCAAGCTCAAGTATCTGAAACAGAGGCCTGAAGAACCAAGACTGCTGTGGCAGCTACATGCCACAAAAATCAGCTCTGACAGCTTAGTAATTGCCATGAATTGCAGATGGCATTGTTCTTTTTGTCTTTCTTTGAATTATTATTGACTGTTATTTACTACATCCTTTCTGCAATGAGGAGCAGGCTAAAGGAACAGACCAGAAGTTCACACAGTTCACAATGTAGTGGAATAACAGATTTATACAGTGGCATAAACGATATTTTTCATTTGCCTTCTGTTCTTTTCTCAGTAATACTTGGCACCTAATTTGCCTTTAAGAACACTACTGAACAGTGAGCACACATTTCCGTGGAAGTATCTATTCTAATCCAAATCACTTCAACAGTTCAATCCTAGTTTTTCTAATTTTGTAAAAAATGCCATCTCCTCTCTCCTGAACTCCAATTGTTAGAAAATTGATATTCATATATGAAGCTAATTGAACACTAGGGTATATATAGTCAATTGGCAGAGTAGGGAGCTAAGTTTTAGGCCTTGCTTGTGAAGACTCCACCTAGTTCTATGTACTACAACACTCAAATTTAAGAAAATAAAGGATACTTATCCTTGACTTTGTAGGTAGTGAAAACACTCTTCGGCCAACTAGTGTTTACTAACATTAATCTCATTTCCATGTCATGAACTAGACTGGAGTTTAGCATTATCAGCCAATACATGGTCTCACAGCTGCTATATTAAAAGCTTAGTTTATCCCATCTGTAAACAAGTACTTTGCTGTAAGCTCCCTTAACATCATAAATCAAAAGTTACCTGTAATATTTCTGCAAGGTCTTCATTTCCATTGTCTACTGCAATATCTAATGCCGTTTTGCAAAATTTACTCTGAGCATGAACATCTGCTCCATACTTTATTAAGAGTTCTACAACTTCTTGGTGGTTATGTTCAGTAGCCCAGTGAAGTGCAGTCATTTTGAGCATGTCCTTCGCATTGACATCAGCACCATGCTACAAACAAGATCATTGCATAAACCATGTCATTAGAAGTATCTCAAATAAATAATGCTGGTCACAGAATGAAGCCCAAAATTGTCTTTTGCCAACAGTAACATCCTGTTACCTTACACTTACAGATTTATTAAAAGTACTTCAATCTAACTACCAAATAAATTCTTTACCTCAAAGGCTTAAAGACTCTCTAAAGCATAACATGTCTTGGTTCTAAAAGTTGTTACTCACACAATGTCAAATTAGGAAGTAGTCTTATTTTGAAACGGCAATAAATAATTCACCTGAAATCATCATGACTTTAATGCTAAAATAAGTTACAGTTTAACAGGAAAACAATTCACCCAATGCACACAGTATAAATATTCACATCATTTCAATGTTGGTTTCATGACTAAAAGGAAATTGCAAATATTTGATCACAAACCATTGTGATATCCCGACTTCAGACTTTGTTTCAGCAGACTTTACCTTAAGTAAGACTTCTACTATGCTGGCATGGCCTTCTGATGCTGCCATATGTAATGGAGTTCTGTCCACTTTGGTTCTGGCATCCCGACTTACACCTGCTCGCAGCAACACTTCTGTTGTTGAGTAGTGTCCATACTGTGCTGCTAGATGAAGTGGAGATGTTCCCAACTGTAATGTGACAGAAAAAGTGTAGTTTTAACAGATGTCAACATGAAGCATTTATTCTTACTCTGGAGCTATCAAACTCAGGTGTCAGGCCACCACTTCAAAATCATTTTCCCTTGCAGTCTCAAGGAAAGAAGCTGTGAGGGCTTTTACAGAGTACAAAGAGGGGAAAGAAAAAAAAAAGTTTGAATTTCCCCCCCCCCAAGTAATCACACCATGCTAAAAACAGCTCACTGGAACCAACTTTTTGAAGTCTGTGCTATGTTTTTTCTGCCTTTTCGAGGTGTGATGTTTCAAGGGGCCTAATCCCATCTTTAGTGTTGGTCAACACACCATACCAACATTGGAAGGAACCTCTGGACGTCGTTTAAGTCCAACCCCCTGCTCAAAACAGAGACAACTTGAAAGTTAGGTCACTAAGTAGATTAAGGCTCTTAAGGGCCTTTAAATACACTAGAATTTTAGGTATCTGACCTCCCTGCACAACCTATTCAAAAACAAGCACCTCCAAAAGACAACTCAGAGCCCCTGTATCAGGGAACTCTCAGCTGCACATATCAGGTAGTTGAGACTGCTTTCTTAATTCTGACCTCTTACTATACTAAATGCATAAACACAGTAACTAGTAGGATGATTGCTGCTTTCTCCCATTAACCATTCCAAAGTTCATCCTAAAAGCCATCAGAATGAGCTCATTCACAGTCTGTTACTAAAATCAGTAGGAGGTCATATGAAGAAACAGACAATTTTAATTTTAAAGTGGACATTAGATGATGTGACTGCAGAATTCCAAGAAGAAACTCCCAAGGCCTGCAATATAAAGGCTTAATTGCAAGAATCCTATGTACTTTTTCAGGTGAGAAAAGCAAGAGGATTTACCGAACACTGCAAAAGTTTTCATTACCCAATCTGTGGTAAAAGGTGCTCCATTTGCCATCAAAATGCGAACTTCGTCATCTTGACCTGCTCGTGCAGCTTCTAAAAGTTTCTTTCCCAAATCTACTAGTGACATCTAGTGAAGGACATAAAGGAATATAAAGAAAAAATAACAACATTAATACTATTTTAAGTACACAAATGTCGCTGTCATTTTTTAAATTATTATTTCTGAACTACTCTTAAAAGTTCAAAAACTGGAGTTGGTATTTTAGCCATGAGAACAAGCTTTACTGATCGCAATAAGCAGCTTGATTTTAGAATTACTTTTGTCAGCCAAACAGAACTGACACTGGGGTGAAGATTTCCATATTACAATGCTGTAACCATAGCAGCCACAAAGTTATATCAAACTATTTGAATTGAACTAGATGTACATTTCTTATAGCAGAAAGTGGTTTAGAAGCTCTCACCTGATACTGCAGCCTGCTGCAGCTTTGTCCAACTTTCAAATGGTACTACATCATGGCTGCTATGTCACACACCCAAAGGCACTACATTCACTTATCCAAAATGCCTATAGATATTTAAGGGGTACGACTATGTAAACGTGTTCAGATAGATATGAAACACAACACCTTTCTGACATCTGGTCCATCACTATCACTTCATTTTGTTCACCCTCAAATATAATTTCTGTATTCCTAGCTACAAAATGATGTGATGGCATATATTATTGTACTATTTGCATCAGATATATGAACTAAGATGTCTGCCTGAAAACAAACTTTACTACCTGCTTCAACTGTCTACAGTTAGTAGAAACATGTTAAGTGCAAAATTTTGATTGAGACATGACCAAGACACTAGCTGAAAAACTTTGACATCATCTTTAATCACCCTTTTACAGCACTCAAAGTTCCGTATAATACAGAGCACACAAAACTGTATGTAGAAAAATGACACCTATCTACGTTTCTGTTGCATAAAAGATTTCCTAGTATAACATCTTTTGAAACCCACTCTACTTCATACTTGCTATTAAATTTGTTCAGTAAAAAGAAAATTTAGAACTAAACCATAACTCATGCTACTTAACCAAAATGTGTGATTAGCATTTTAGTCCTATGCCTATGTTTTCTGCAACCAGGATGCTAAGAATGGAATTACATTCATCAGTTTGGTTTCCAGTCACAAGTAAAATTAAGCCTGTATTACTAATAACAGCAGTTGCAAGGCCATGCAGCTAATTTCCTACACAGAGTTAGAGTATATCAGTTCAGAAAGAAATCCCAATAGGATCATTTTTTATTTCTTTTCTTAAACATACACTTCTATCACAAAACCAACATATTTAGAATGTTCTCTGCACCTGGCTCAACTGGCAAAATCCGTGTGGTATATTGCTCAATAAGCTGAAAGCTATTGACTTTGGAAGAAATTGGAAAAGGAAGACGGAAATACTGCAAATGCAGAACTCCAACATGTATCAGTAGAGCCATGAACTGGAGCAGATTACCTCTTTGTCTACAGAACTGTCTGCAGGCAGCAATATCCCCTTCACCAAGATAATACTCCATTTATGTCCATCCTTCTAGTACACATGGACATGTTGATTTGTCTCCAGCCAGAAAAGGGAAGAGGAGCAGGAAGGTAGCAGGACAGGACAAATACTGACAATGGGAAAAGGAAGGAAAAAAGGAGCACAGAGTCAGATGCAGAGGAAGGGACAACAGCTGACTCTCTTCCGTAAAGAGCAAAGGAGAAACAGGAATAAGAGAAAAATCTACTATCCCCATTAAAGGGAGACACTAGGATTAATGATATAAAACAGTAATAGGACAGAGACGGCATTTGGCAAGTGCAGCAGTGAGATGAAGGAATATAGCACTCTCTTTATATAGCACCCTTTTGGGGGGGGGGGGCAATCCAAGAAGGAAAAAAGAACGCACAGACACTTTTTCTGGTGGTCTAATATCACCACATCAAGGTCCTCAGAAGCAAAAAAAAAATCTGGAAATTAATGCAAAATACTAGAGTTAGGAACTAATCCGGAAAGATAACAATTCATTTTCCTTATATTTATTTTTGTTAAACACCAGTAGAGGAGAAGGAACTAATAAAGTCTCCTTTTGGAATTACAGAGTAATTGAGGCTGGACAGGACTTCTCAAGGTCACCTAGTTCAATCTCCCAGTCAGAGCTGGCCCAACAGGCTCAGGCTGTGCAGGGCTCAGTCCTGAGAGTTTTGAATATCTCTGTGGATGAACATCCCACCGCTTCTTCAGCCTCATTCCAGTGTCCGACCACCCTCATGGTGAGGGCTGCCTTCTGCATATACCTGTCCTTCTCCACTAACCAAAAAGACAGCCTTGATAACAAGCTTATACTTGATGTCTGTTAGACAACAAAATAGGTGAATTAAATTACAGTCTGCACATTTAACAACTACACCTATTCAGAACCCACTGACCACATCTATACTGGTGAATTAAACTGCAAAGTTGTTACCAAAACCCTATGCAGAAAAAAAATTCAATTATGGTGGCTTGCAGAATACAAGTCTCACTCCCAGGGGACGTTAGGGACAAACTTCAGCCCGAGATGGACACCTTTCCAGTCTCTCTGAACCACTGCTGTTGAACACGCTGCCAGAGTGACAGCACATCAGTTCCCATCCCAATGCAAAACTAAACAACATTGTACTACACTTAATAAGAAATGTTCCAATCAAGGAAAAAAAGAGGGACATGGAAGATCATACATGCCATAACTTTCATTACCATGCATTACTTACATTAACCAACACATTCTTGTTTGATATAAAGTGTTTGTATTTTAAACAAGAACAAAGCATCACAGAAATTAACATACGTTTCATGATGTAGAATTTTAACTTCAGTTAAAACAACACAAATTTATTTTGGTAATGAAGTAAAATTTCAGTTCTCATAGGTTACTTGAAAGCATGCTTGGGCCATCTAGTGGAAGAAAGTTAGAAACCTAGCACAATTACACAAACTCAAAAATCACATTATATGTCAACAATGCACTAACAACAGCAACAGATGAGGCCTTTCCAACAGAAGACTCATGCACATTTAGTCACTTTTAACCAACGAATACTAGCATTCACAAAATTGCTCAAGAGTAGTTAACCCAAAGCTGATTTCTACTTGGCAGACCATTCCAAGGACCAGTATTGTAAGGTCAGGAAACCCTTGAGTAATAACATGCCCCATGTTTCCCCCATACTCTTCCACTCCTAGTAGTGGGACATACAGAGAACGGTCCGCAGTGTCAGAATTTACCTTTCTTCCCTTTTCAGAAAAATTCTTCAGCTGCTCTCTTGAGATCAGTTAGTGACACTACAATAGCACAGTGCTACTATCAAAAGCAAAGTTCTATATATAGTACAATAAAATACATTTAAAATTTAAATAATATTTCCATTTCAAAGCAGCACTCTTAGTTAAGCACTGCTACTACTCCACGTAGTGTTACAAATCAACTCTGCTGAACTGTGTTAGAGGGTACTCTTCAGTAACTGTCATTTCCATCAAGCTTGGCTAGCATGACAGCTGGGTAATGCTTTGCAAGAGGATTCTTTCAGACAATAAAAACATCGCTGGCTCTGAAATAAAGTCTTGAGACTATTATAGTTATTCTTATGGCAATATGACTATGTTTTCAGCCTTCTACCAGCTCCTACACAACTATGTGAACAGAGGGGTTTGTCTACAATTGAGTAAATAGGGAACCCAGCTTCTGCTGGATTTGGACTTCTTTGCATTAACCACCTCCTGAACTTCCACGTTTCATTACTGCAATGCATTACTGCAATGCATTCTGTACAGTATCATTACCCAGATGCCACAATGAACTGGTAATTAAAATTTACATCAAATTATTATTGCTATTCTACTTCTGTTCAATAGGAAATCACAGTGCTTTTTTGTATCCACCTCAGATTTTTTTATACATTCTGTAAAACTCTGAACATCATGCTGTTACCAGAAGGGTATATAACAGCACTTGATGGGAGTTTAGGTGGAACTGTGTGCAAAATGGGCTCTGTGGGGAGGGAGAGGATCTGAAAAACATGCAGCTTGGGAAGCCTGGGTCCCACATCACAGCCTACAGACAATAGAGCAACACAGTCTGCAGTCCAAAGAAAGCTTAAAATATTGGCTTAAAATATTGCAGCACCTTTCAGACCGGTGTCCTGCCCCAAGGATCCTGGACCCAGCCTTTATCACCCTTCTACCACTGCAGCGGTGAACATCAGCCAGTCAAAATCAACAGGCACAGACCAGCTGTTGCAGAACACCTGCTAACATGGAGATCTTGCAGCCACCAGAGTACTTCTACCAAGGCATGCTCCTAAAAAAGACATACTTACACTAGAAGAGCATGGACTGCACCAGTGCAATTTACCAGAAGGTAAACTGAATCAACATGCACCCTATCTATGACAAGGATTTGCAATCATTCCTAAAAACCCCAGGACAAAGTTCCATAAAATGCTAATTAAACAGGTTTCCCTACTGAAGTGACATGCAGCGGAATCATACTTGGAAGATAGCTCGAGACCCGTCATCTCACACACCCATTACATCTGGAAAAAGAATGCCCTTTTCAGAATGTCTTTTTCTTTCCACTGTTTCAGAAAACAATCAACCTGCTTCCCCAGACCCGATCTTCGCAAATGCTATCATCCTACTGCTTTCAGCATTGCACAGTATCACTAGAAATTTAGAATAGCAATTTCCAATTAATTTTATATGCCTATCCATACCAAGATCAAAAATATTTTAAAGTTCAGGTATAGTTAGCAATAACTATTTAAATCTTTAGTCAAGCACTGTTTTGATCACTATTAGAATTGAAATAATAGGTAATAGGATCAACTTGCTCTTTTTTTTTTTTTTAAATATCCTGATGTAACAGCACAATACTTGAACTCAGAACAACTCTTCGAAGAATTTTTTATTTCAATTAGTTTTGTAACTTCTAAAGGAACCAGAAGGTCTGCATTGAACCTAGGCATATTTGCATGTGCTTTTACCTTATATATAATTTAATAGTGATTATAGCAACTTACATGGGATAAACTCAAAAAGTTCCTGTATTGTTT